CAACCTTCCCCGCCGCCGCCTCCTCCGCGCCGCGCTCCGCCCGGATGGCCAGGGCTGGGCCCGAGAATGGCGGAGCGAGAGAGCGGCGGCCTGGGCGGGGGGGCCGCATCCCCGTCTGCCGTCTCTCCGTTCCTGGGGCTGCACATCGCGTCGCCTCCCAATTTCAGGTGAGAACCCCGAGTCTTGCGCGCCCCGCCCTTCAGCCGGGACTGATCTGCCTCTCACCCTACCCCCACCACACACACTGGACCCCGGGAGGGAGAAGGCGGCGTGGGTACAGGGGTTTCTTCCCTGGACAGAGCCACCCCAGAGTCCCTCTCAATCTCTAGTCCAGACTTACAGGCGCTGCATATTCACGGTGCAGCTCCCTCCGCCATTCCACGTTCTAGGGTAGGAGATCCGGGGCTGGAGTTGGAGGAGGGGGTTCGGAGGCCACCAGCTCCCCCACTTGTGGGCTGCGGCTGGACCTGGGATCGGGATTGTGATCCCAGAAGAGCCATGTAGGCTGGGGCTTTGCCTGTGCCCATTGCCTGTGCCCAGTCCGAAGGTTTCTGAACCGAGATGGAAGCAGTTTCTTGGGGCAGCTGACCACCTTGCTACTGGAAGGAGGGAATCGGGGCTTCTCCCCCAGCCCTTCCTGGCCAGATGGGCCCCACTCCCAGGACCCCCTGTGAACCTGGGCAAACGGTAGCCTCCGCCTTAACCCCCCAGGATCCTAGGCCCAGTTGTGGGAGGGGAGTCTGATTCGGAGGGCCCAGGAGGAGCCAGGGACATTGCTGGAATAAGCACCCAGACCCTGACCTGAACTCCGCCTCCACAGTCCTCCCTGCTCCCAATCTGCTGTTACCCATTAGGAGGTAGATTTCAGAGAATTGAAGTGTGAGTGTTGTTGGAAGGAAGGATAGATGCCTCTCCCCCATAATCCTGACCCCAGTTGGTGAGGCGGAAGAGGAGGGTGTAACTGCTCCAGAGTCTAGTAGAAGGGCCTTAGGCAAACCCCATTGTTTCTCCATATAATGAGCCAGCGCCTTCCCCTCTCTTGGGGCCCCCAACCCAGCCAGGCCCCAGCTGGGCGCTGGCGCCAGCCGCTCTGACCGGAAGATGGCTGGCTCCCTGGCCCTCAGGTGGACCGGCACCTCTGGGAATCTCTAATGGCATCATCAGGCCGAGGAACCTCCCCCGAGGCCCGGAGCTGAGCAGGAGGACCAGAGGGAGGGGGACCAGATGGAGAAGGCCAAGCTCTGTGGTTAGCGCCTTCAGACCAGCGGGCTGCAGTCTGCAGCTCCACCTGCTGTGGCACATGCTGCCTCCACGTAAACACTGCTGGCCCAGATGGGGGCCACTTGGCAGCGAAGGAGCATCACGCTTAGAGCTAAGGGTCCTGGGTTCCAATCCTAGCTCCACCAACTGCCTGATTTTTTTCCTCTCTGAGTCCTACCTGCTAATATTAATCCCTGCCTGGAAATGAGACCATGGACATCAAGTCGGTGCTCAGTAAGTGTCTACAGGCATTTCTGTAGCACCTTACTGTTCAGAGCATTTCCCCAGTGTTGGCTCATTTAACCCTGGTGGCCACCCTGTGAGTGGGTATTGGCGTGCTCATTTTTAAGATGAGCACATTGAGTTTCAGGAAGTCAGAGTGACTTGCCTAAGGATCGCGAGAAAGGCAGAGGTTGAGGCTGGAAGGGACCCCAGGTCTGTGTGTATCTATCCACTGTCCCCCGGCCTTGCCTCTGGCCCCCTGCTCCCCAGGTACCAGTGCTCTCCACCCCTGCCCTGCCCCCTGGCAGGCAGATTGTCATGGAAGCTGTAGTGCAAGCAGCTGATGAGGTGGACACCAGCCAGTGAGTGTGTGTCCAGCTCTGGGCCAGGTGGGCCAAGGGTGGCACATGCAAACAAGCTGAGGCGTGGGCCCAGCATTCCAGGACACCATGGCCTGGCTGTGGATACAAGGCCAGCTTGTGGGAATAACAAGGGTCTGTGTCTCAGGCCCTCAAGGCCTGCCCCGCCTGCTCCAGCAGCCCCTGCTGCCCTTTCCCTTGTCCCGCCTGTCACAGCCCTTGGCCCAGCTCTGTTTAACCCTGGGCAGTTAGTGCTCTTGGGGCCCTTTGATGGGATGATGGATCCAACTGGGCTGAGTTTGAATCCTGACTTGGCCTTCTTCATTGCTTTCATCCCTGCTCAGGGCATTCCTAAGACTCAGAGGAGACAATACATGTTGAGTGTTTCAAGAGCTATGAAGAGCTGTATGTCTGTGGGGCTGTTTTTAGTGGGGGGGGGGGGG